AATTTTTTGCGCCTGTTTACTTCGAATTCATAATTTATTTTAATACCTACAGGCAAGGCTTAATCTAAAGCCAATTAAGAGAAAAAATAATAATTGAAATGTCTACACGCGGATAAAAGTAGACTATGTATATCAAACAGCACGAGTACCTATATATGCTAAAAATATGAGTTTGGGAATCATTACTTAACACAAAGGCGCTTAGTGTGTTACCAAGATAATCAATAAAATTACTAACCAAAATTTGCTGTTTGAATTATAATAAGTGTTTGGAAATATACAAATCCTTATTTATTGTATACAACTTCTGTTTGCATTTTAATTACGGTGAATCCATAAGGGGACATTCTTATTTTTTGGTAAGTATTGTACTTCCTTTTTCTTTATACCTTAATACTCAATAAATACCAATATGTTAAAAGAATGTCCATACCCGTCCTATATTATATATCAATAATTTACGGCAGTAGGTCGGGCACTTGTAACATTAATAATATAAATTTATACAAACACACTTGATTAACTTTTTATTTTCAAGCGTAATGTTTGTTATATTAACCTATACCTACATTTTTATTAATATTATGGAAAATTTGTACACGTGTGGTAAATCCCCGACATACAGCCGCCTGACGCCTCTCTACCAATGGGATCACCCATTTTTTATAACAGAAAAATGGATTTCTGATGAATTCTCAAGATAATTCATTGGTTACAAGTTGACAGCCAGTAAAACATTGCATTGATCTAAAACTTTTACGTTTTAAGGAACCATTTTGCTTAAGCCAGCCATAGGACTCAAATATAAAATTATATTTTAAAAGTCACCGATTTTGATAATTGTCATAGATTTTTGTTCCAAATAAATGTTTCTCTTTATTTACCTTTTCGTTTTATTCACTACCACCAATAGGTTTTACTCAAATAATAGTGTTAATTTACACTAGAAGTTTACACTAAAAGAGTAAAAGTACCTTTCTAAAATTATAACTTTTCCAAAGTAGTGTTAATTTACACTGAACAAAAGTGGGATTTTACCCAGGAAGTGTAGAAGTACAGGATTTTAGGTAAATTAACACTTTTTAATACAGTGTTAAATCATACTTGCTTACTTGGGGAAAATTACACTACAAATTAACTCTAATTGTAGTGTTATAAAACAACACTATTTAGTGTGGACCTGTGTGAACTCTAATTAGTGTTGCTTAGAGTTGATTGCTCAGGTGTCTTTCGTTTTTGGTGTGTTCCAATACACCAAATTGCCCGACATTGTAAGACCCGAAATAGGTCTATCTGTCTAGCTGTCTGTCGGTATTTGAAGTTGGTGGAACGCACTTAAAACAAAAACTCTGACGAGGTGAAGGTTCAATTTTTTTTATCTTAACAGTAAAGGGTCAAGAAAGTTTCTTGAAGAAACCAAGAAAATGGCAGGTTTTTTTTTCGTAGTATAATTACAATACCATCATTCGTAAATTACTAAATATTTTTAGTATAATTTGTTGTACAAAATAACAATATTAAATATTGTATTATAATATTGCGAAACGAATTTTCTTCAGTTCAGTAAAATTTGTAAATTGTAAAATATATTTTGTAATTTTCTTAAACTGAGTTGAAATGAATTGTATAGTTTACAATTACAATTACAATAAACCATTTTAAAATTACTAAACATATTTAGTATTTTTTTTAGCAAAATTACAATAACTGTATATTAATTATACTGAACAAATTTTTAATAAATGCTTAGTGAATTTTAACAAAAGTTTTGTAATTTTCCCAAATTAAGTTGTAATGAATCGTGTAGTGAATTTACAAAACGAAGTTTTATTATTACTATATTTTGGTGAGTAAAAACTTCCTAAACATGTTAAGTAAAATTAATGGTTGTTAAATCTACACTGTTAAAAATTTCGTGTGGAGACACCACCGTGAAGTGCCCATAAAACATCATCTTCACTTTCACCATAAAAAACTGCTTCTATATCTATAGTCCATTTTCAAGGGATGCATTTCGACTCGGATAAAAGTTTAAAATTTTTACCGGCGGCTTGTAATACAGTTTCCCAAGTTACTTAAAAAAAGAATGGTTACTCTATTATTTTATAGTTGTCGCCCTATACAAATTTATAAACTTTTCTAGACATTTAATTAAACAGCCTAATTAAAATTTGTGATTAAAAACGCGTTTATCAAATTTGATACATAAAATTTACAGCATTTAACAACTGTATAACATGTATAACATGCTATGTGGTTACAATTATTAAGTCTAAATGAGAATTAACAGAATAAATAATAAAAAAGGCTTTTCCCTTTACAAGCTTTCCCCAACCACTTGTAGATTAAACATTTTATGACAGGACTGGGAATATTTATAAGAAATACGTTTTAAATTACAAAATATATAACCTACGTAATTTAAATCGTTCTTTATACTACAATTTGTTACAAATTAAGTACTTAAATGCAGTAAATGTGTGACATAAACTAAAAAAGTATAAAAAAGAGAATAGTAAGAAAAAAATCCTTGTTTCACTTAATATTGCCATCTTTGTTTATAAGGTAAAGGACGTATGCGGTCTTCTTAAAAATACGAACATAACCAACTTCGTTGAAAGTTGAACACTTTTTAATTGTTATAAAACCATCATCAAATATTTTAGTACAAAGTTCTTAAAATTATATTTTTAAAGTTAAAATTCGCGCCTCTAGTATGTCCTTTACTGCCATTTTCAAATTATTAAATTAATTTAAACATAACCTGAAAACAGATCTGGAAAATACCTATAAAGGTTGCTTTATAACACATTTTGATTTTATCACTGTGCCTTAAGCACCTGTTATTAATCACTAATCAATAGGTCTTTATATTACAATGAACATTTTTAGATTTTATCACTCTTCGTGTAAAGTAAAACGAAATCAGAAAGCAAATTTTACTTTTATTTCAATAAATATATGAATATGTTAAACGTTAAAAACTAGTGTCTAAAGAAGTTTATAAACGAGTTGCATACTATACTTTATCTACGACGAACACATAACACAATTTAAATCTAATATAATTTGTTAAAAATTTGACATCTGTCAACTGTCACCCAAATTTAACCTCACTTCTTCCCAATTTATAATAAAGCTAACTTCAGCCCGTGACTAAAAAGCTTGAAAGCCACTGTTTCTAACTTCAGCTCGTGACTAAAACGCCATAAAGTCACAGCTTCTCAATGTACGAGTAGATAAATATGCTTATATATTTATGCGATTATTGGATTTTTTTGGCAATTAAATTTACTAACAAAATATATGACACATTTTTTTTCTTTAAATTTAAAAGTAAAAAAATAATAAAAACTTATTTGTTACTTTCAGTTACAAGCATAAGACTCCTTAATATTTTTTTTTCAAGAATAATAGTTTTGCTATTACCAAATTAATAAAAAAACGACATTCGACCCATCTAATAAACATATTTTACCATTTTATTAATAAATTATGCTTCAACCGATTTTTAAAATGCAAAATTTTTAAGTTATTAATAAGATTTGATAAACAGCTATTTTTTAATAAAAATACTATAAATATTTGCTATTCTTTAAACATTAAACAAACATTCAAAAATTGTAACTGTTGAAATTAAAATCTGTAAACAAACTGTCAAATAGATTTTAAGTGATGTTTTAAAGTTTAAATATATAAATAAAAAATGTTACCTATGAGCAGATTGTATTTTAGCCGTAAAATATGAGGGCTTTTGCTATAAAATAAAATTCGGACTAGGTGGTTTAACATAGCATCCTATGATTTATCTGCACTCTAACACATTTGATTATTTTTAAGGTTGTAAACTGGTTGGTAAAATTTATGTTGGATGTTTTTGTATTGATGTAAAATTTTGGAGATAACATGCCTATATACTATTTAGTTTTTAAAACTTTATATGTGCGAAATAAAAGTTTAGCGAACTTTACAACATAAAGTGATTTATAATAGACCTTTGTTAAAGAAACTCCAAGAATATATCTACATTCAGAATGTTGAATACCTATAAAAAACAAATAGTAAAATTTAAAATTTGAAACGTGATTTATTTAAAGCGTTTAACAATAGCAATGCAAAATTTTACCTTGCTCACAAAACGCAGCCATACACAACAATAAATGAAATTTCAACAATTTGATGCTTTGAACTGACCTAGTTAGCGAAATTTCATTTAAAAATAATAAAAAAACCATATAGGGCATGCAAAATACCTGTCTAATGAGAGTTACATATTTTAGGTAAATGGGATAAATTTAACAAATATACAGGGTTTTTTAAACACGTGGAGCCATTAGGGTATTTCCATTGTAACGGGTGCGACACTAAAACTGCGTTTTTTCATGATAATAAAGTGTTTCTTCATAACTATCAAGATACGTTAATATGAAAAATAGTATACAAAATAAGGTATTTAACTCAAACAAAATGTCAGTAAAAACTTGTATAGAAAACCTTTTATAACGTCATGAATCTCGTAACGGGCGCGACCTTAGAAAATCGGCAAATTCGACCAAGTTGGCTTCTAAAGTTGATACTGTAAAATTTTGGATGAAAGCATATAGTAATAATTTTTTGTGTAAAACTTTAATAGTAACCTTAAACAAGCACGTATTTTAAATGCGCAAATATTGTATACTTTATTTTCTAAAATTGTTTCAAAATGTAACGGGTGCGACATTTGAACATTTTATCGAGTATTGAAACTCTTCCGTGTTTATTCTTAATGTTAGCTTCTTACCATCACAATGTACGAATATTTTAAGGTTATAAATTACGTCGCAATTAAACTATTTGACTTCAGATATAGTTTTTATTTTGTTAAATAACACATCTGTTTTTTTGTCAAGGTGGGTAAGGTTTCGTGGAAAATTAAGATTTTTTTCAAAAAAGTTTTTGAATTGGTAGTTACTCTCATTATGGATTTCATACATAAAGTAAGATTTTTTTCTTTTTTTCAGATTCAAATTTTGTGCTGGGCAACGCCCAAGTGCCCACCTTGTATCCCATCGTGTATTGCAGCGATGGGTTTTGCGAGCTCACGGGCTTCTCCAGAGCCCAGATCATGCAGAAGGGCTGCGCGTGCAAATTTCTGCACGGCCCTGACACCAAGGACGAGCACAAATCCCAGATCGACAAGGCGTTGGAATCGAAGAACGAGCTGAAGCTAGAAGTGATATTTTACAAGAAAAACAGTAAGTAATTATGTATGTACACACATATTTAAAAAAAAACATACGAAAAAAGTTAAGAGGAGTTAAATCCCAACTTCTTGGCGGACAAAAACCAAAAACAATTTTTTTGCCCTTCAAATCAATATAAATAAAAATTATAAAACACTCGTTTTATACTTAAATCTAAAACTTTGGGTGCCTAATAAAATCTTTTTGCCGGTTGTTGCGAGAGGCATTCATTAAAAAGAAAAAGCGAAAGAACATAAAAAACACAAAAACTTTTAAGATTTATTTTTGCAATCAATATTAAATAGAGCGGCACGGTTAAAATGCGAAAAGGCCATTTGGTGAAGAGAGTGGCATATAAAATTCAAATTTATGAGATGTTTTAATAAAGTTTGCGTTATAAATTGTAATGTAGGTACCTAATTTCGGTTTTATTATGATGTTTATGCAAATTAAAAGAGCCATTTTGAATTAAGAATAAAATAATTACAAAAATCACCAATTATTAAGCAGTTTTTTATTTACACAAAAATGGTGAGAGTATTTTAAAAGTTTACTATTTCCCTCCTTAATACTGCTGGCAAAAAATATGGTAAATATTGGATAAAACATTTTACCTGTTTTATATACAGGGTATTATATAATTAATGTAATATATTAAAATACTGAATACTTTTTGACATAAGGTGTAACAGAAATATTTAAAAAAATATTTTCCCAAAGATAAAGTAAAAGTATGCATTAGAAGTTTTTTATATTTTTTGTAGTACGCCACTGGTTATACACTTGTGTTCTGTGAGTACATAGATACCAACCAACAAAGTAGCTGCACATTGCCAGTAACTGGCAACTGTTGTTAAAAATTGTTACTAACAATTTTTTTTGCAAACAATAAATAAATTTAAATATATTACATTACATTGTATTACATTACATTGTATTACATTAATTACATAACACCCTGTACCAGGGGCGGATCTAGAATGTGTCATTGGGGGGGCGGAGTTGAAAATTTTTGTAAATAATAAGAAAGTTGAAATTAAACTTATTCCTTTTTTTTATTATTTTCTATATTAATTTAAAAAGTTATGTTCAATTTCAACTTGATAACTTACTTCCGGGGGGGGGGGGGCGATCGCCCCCATCGCCCCCCCTTGGATCCGCCAATGCCCTGTACAGTGTATAATATAATTTAAAAATAAATAATAAACCATTTTCAGTCTATTTTCTTTATGACGAAAATTTATCCCATATTTTTTGACGTCAGTTTAGTTCTACCATAGAGTAAGATTCTTTACTCAATTCTTTACTCAATGGTTCTACCATATACAAAAAAGCAATTCAGTGTCGAATATTGCTTTCGAAAAAATTAACAAAATAGTTTTTCCTAAAAGATTTCGATTTGCATGTTAAACATAATTGCAAAATATTTAAAAAGGGCAAAGGCATATATCCTACCAAATATACAAATTTCAACTAAGAATTTCTCAAAGAGGAAAAAAGAATATTAAAAAAAATCAAAAGAAGGAACGTTCTTTCAGATGGCGTAGCAAGTTTTGAGAAGAAAAAATACCCTTTGATGTAATATAATCTTAAATATTGAACAAACAATGCTTTTTTTGTCGGGTGGTTAATAATTCGCCGATTGTATTCGCAATTGTTAATAATTAATACCTAACATTAATTTCTCCCGCTGTGAACAATCTTATTCCTTCCCCTGTATACAGGGTGAGTAGTACACTGAGTTAGTATGCATTTTACGAAAAAAAATTTAAAATAAAAATTTAATGATTTGAGGGGGGAAATCAATCAGTACTAAAATTGGTCCTCATACTCTCCTAATTATAGACGGAACAGGGGGTAACTTTAAAATTCCCAATGAAACACCCTATTTTTTATTGCAGATTAGGATCATTCGACTAAAAATAGGTAGATTTTGTCTAAAACATTTTTTCATATTTGTAATAGATGGCGCTGGAATGAAAAAAAAATAATTTAGTTCGATTTTTTTTCTGTAAGTATACGATTCTCCAATAATTTTTTAATAAAATACTTGGTTTTATTTTTTTAAATTTATTAATTAAATGAAATGAAGTACGTGATCGATTTTTTTCCGCAAAACGCTGAGCGTAGATATTAACAGCATCATCAAGATTCCTTCCTGCTTCTCCATAAATCAAAATCATTTCTATTTTTTCTTTCACTGTTAAAAAATCCATTATGAATAACTGCTTAACGAAAGGAGGTCTTTTTGTTTGCAAATTAATCTTCGAACTAAATTGATTAAATAATGCTATGTATTAATAGTTTCTTTATACCTCAATATTAATTACTATTTATAACTAAATACCATTTTCTTATACCTCAATTCGGATTAAATTAATTAATTGACAAAATAATGTGTTTTTTTACCTTGAATAAGGTATTTTTAGTAAAAATAGTACAATGATCCTTTAAATTAAGGCATTTAATGGTGGCAGGTAAAAAGTGACCATGGTGCGCAATTGATAATTATCACCGAATCAAATAATGTATAAAACTTAAACGAAAGGAAACTTAAATATTAGTTAAAGAATCGTGTGTACTTAAAAAAATCAAAATTAATTTAATAAGATGTAAAGAATGTAAACGTCAGAATTAAGTTTTTTGCGGGTACCTACCCAAATTGGGTATTTTTAAGCGAAAGTGAGCATTTATAGAGTTTAGCTTAAATAACTCGAAGTAGGTAAGCGTACTAACTTAATTGGAACGACTATTAATTCGGGAATCGCAATTACCCCCTCAATGAATTCCTTCACTCGCCTAGTGGTTCATTCGGAAACTTTCATCATCGGTAGTAATTGCTATGATTCCACGTTCCGTAAACAATATACTATTTCTTATTTTTATAATAAAGCAAATTTGAGGTCGAATTCGGATTCCAAAAAAGGGATTTAAGGTCCCAGCATTAAATTTAGAGGAGAAAGAAAAAAACATTTCTTCTTACTTAAAAACAGATTTTCAAGATTGAAAATGGAATTCGCCCGATGTTTCATTCGAAAGTAGTGTTTTTCTCATAGACCACGTTGCATCCAACATTATATTATATTTAGTAGAATTATAAACGAATTTATTTCGATTAGAAGCTGAGATTGATATTTTACTAGGCAGTAAAACCAAATGAGTCTTATAAAAAAATTTTAGAACTATGGACTTTTTTTAATATAAGAATAGCCAAAAGATTTTTCCTTTAAAGTTATTAATATAATCTTTTCAGAAATTATTTAATATATAGATTCTGTTTTCTATTTTTAGGTACCCCATTCTGGTGTTTGTTAGACATAGTCCCCATAAAAAATGAGAAGCGAGAAGTCGTGTTATTTCTTGCCTCTCATAAAGACATTACGAACACAAAAATGGCCGAAATGTCAGAGTGCGAGCTCTACGACAGTGGTAAGTAAGAATCCATTTAAAACCACTTATGTTAGGTGCATGCCTTTCAAGCTTTTATCGTTAGAACATTTTTTTCTTTTCCGATATCATTTTTACATTTTTTGTAATCTATGAATAGCTTCACATTGATACATTCACCCACTTAGGGAAAGTGTGTGGGACAAACCTTACTTTTATTGTGAATGTCAAATAATCCCAGTTGGTCGAGGAATATTTCCTTAAATTCTTTCAGTGCAATGTTCGAAGAGCAACAAAACTGCCTTTAAATTTATATGGAGATAAAAGTTTTGTCAGAGTAAAACTTTTAAATATTTATACAAAAATATGATACGTTTACGTGCATTTTATATGCGTTCATGACCCAATTATTTTAAACTTATTTTTGATACAAAAACAAATTATTTGGCCGGCAAACAAAAAGATCGTGCCTATAAATTTTATAATTAAACAAATAGAGAATTTACGATTTGAATTTTAAAACATATAAACAATTTTCGTGATTTTTTGTCGATTTAATAATTGAAGGGATCGATGGATAAAAGATTTACCTAACTAACATTTTCATGTCAAACAAAAATGTGGTAACCTTTATTACCTAATTATGTAGTTACCACTTTTTTGCTGGGTACGAAAATGTTAGTTAACACCTTTATACATCAACCCCTTTAAATAATTAATGTTAAAAAATATTTTATAATTAATAAAGTTTAGTTTAACAAAGATATTTTAGTTGGTTTTTTGTTTGATTACAATTAAAGGCTAAGGTCAAATTAAATCATACTACACAGATAAAAAGGAAACGGGAAGTTCCTTGACGCATTACTAGTATATTACTAGTAGTATTATTCCAGAAAATTGAACCTTCAACTCGCTGTTGTTTTTAGTGCTTTCCACTAACTTAAAATACTTCAAGTATTGACAGCTGTTTCCACCTATTTAAGGTCTCTTTAGTATTGAACAACTTGTGGTGTCAAAGGACTCCCTGAACTTATATACTCTTCATGTAAGTCAACAGTGGCGAGATTTAAGAACAAGTGATCCACACCGCCTTTGCTGCGATCGGTACATACTATGCAACCAGAAATGCACGGCAAATTGTTTTAATCGTTTTAACAGAGTGCTTTAGGTTAAAGTAACTCTTTACAAACAACATATTTAGTAAACTGAACCACACAGCGGGTTCGTTTCACTAAAGTTTTCTGGGTTAATTTAACCAATTTAAAAAAAATAAAATAACTATCTGGTTTAGTACCGTCAAACTAATCTTTGTTTATATTAACCTTCCCACAGTGGATTTAAATAAATACTTATGGGTCAACTAAATTTATATAGTTTTGGTGTTTGCTGTATATAACATTTGCAACCATAATTCATGGTGTTTATATTAACACCACTTGGTGTTGGATTTAGACACCATTTTAAGATTTCCCTTTAAACCACAGATATTTTAAACAGTGTAAAATCTATGTAATAGATCCATCATTGATGGACGACCTGCGAAATCCGTTCCAAATTATAATACAAAAGGGATACAAAATTCTTTCTAAATTCATCGCAGAGCTTATTCTAAATGTTCATTGATTCGAACTATCTTCTTTTCATACGTCAAGTCACACGGAAATATCGCGATGAACTTTGAATTTTGCGAACGCATTTCTATCAGGTCTGGAGGCCTGTTGACAGAATTAGTAAATTCGCTTAGCATCATAAATTTTGTTGCAGCATTTGAATAATATGAATTTTGACAATGAACTTGAATAAGTTTAATTACAATGATGACGTCTAAATTATTACAAGCTGAAATGACGAGAAGCTTTATTTAAGATAAGCCTAAATGATAACATACTTAAATGACGATAAGCTTAAATCGATACCTATATCGAATAAGTGACCCTTTTCAGATTAATTTTTTTGTATAATAAAGATCATTCAAAATAACAACTGTTCATTTAATTGTGTCTGTATATTTGGAAATTTAAACTGGATTGTAAATGTTATTTTATGCATGTATCTAAATGATGGCGACAAGTTTAAATTATCACAAGTGACAAGCTTAAATGATGACAAGCTTAAGTATGAACCAGCTAAAATGACAAGTTGAAATGATGACAAGCCAAAATAAAGACAAGCCTAAATATTAATAAAATGATGAAAAATTAAAATAGCAACAAGCATAAATGATGACAAGCTTATATGGCAACAAACCTTAATCACGATAAGCTTAATATTGACAAAATGATCACAAGCTTAAATATCGACATTCTAAAGTATTGACAAATTTTAAGAATGACAAGCTAAAATAGCAAGAAGCATACATGATGACAAGATTAAATAGCTTAAAAGCCTTAATGATGATAAGCCCTAATATCGACAAGCCAAAATGACCTCAAGCTTAAATGGAGAAGATCTTAAAGATGACAAAATATTCACATCTAAAATATCGGCATTCTAAAAAATTGACAAGCTAAAATGGTGTTCAAATTACAGGCTCATTAATATATAAAAATTTGAATAATTATTCTTCTAAATTTATTAATAGTTTTAAGTCATCGACAAGCTTAAATAAAGACAATCTTAAATATTTTTGGAATGATGACAAATTAAAATAGCAACAATCATAAAAGATGACAAGCTTAAATATCGACATTCTAAAGTATTGACAAATTTTAAAAATGACAAGCTAAAATAGCAAAAAACATACATGATCACAAGATTAAATAGCTTAAAAGCCTTAATGATGACAAGCCCTAATATCGACAAGCTAAAATGACCTCAAGCTTAAATGGAGAAGATCTTAAAGATGACAAAATATTGACATCCAAAATATTGGCCTTCTAAAAAATTGACAAGCTAAAATGGTGTTCAAATTATAGGCTTACTAATATAAAAATAAAAATAATTATTCTTTTAAATTTATTAATAATTTTTAGTTTTATTGATTTTTTGACTTTTAAACGAACACAAGGCTTAATGACGACAATATTATAGGGTGACAAGCTAAAATGACAAGTTGAAATGATAAGCTAAAATTAAAACGATCCCTTATTTCGACAAGCTTAAATAAAGACAAGCATAAATATTTTTGGAATGATGACAAGTTAAAATAGCAGCAATCATAAATGATGACAAGCTTAAATATCGACATTCTAAAGTATTGACAAACTTTAAGAATAACAAGCTAAAATAGCAAGAAGCATACATGATGACAAGATTAAATAGCTTAAAAGCCTTAATGATGACAAGCCCTAATATCGACAAGCCAAAATGACCTCAAGCTTAAATGGAGAAGATCTTAAAGATGACAAAATATTGACATCGAAAATATCGGCATTCTAAAAAATTGACAAGCTAAAATGGTGTTCAAATTACAGGCTTATTATTATAAAAATGTAAATAATTATGCTTTAAAATTTATTAATAATTTTTAGTTTTATTGATTTTTTATTTAACTTTTAGCCTTAATGACGAGAATATTATAGGATGACAAGCTAAAATGACAAGTTGAAATGATGACAAGCTAAAATTAAGACGAGCCCTCATATCGACAAGCTTAAATATTTTTGAAATGATGAAAAGTTAAAATAGCAACAATCACATATGATGACAAGCTTAAATAGCAACAAACCTTAACGATGACAAGCTTTAATGAAGACGATCTTAAATATTGATAATATGATGACAAGTTAAAATAGCAACAAGCATAAATTATGAAAAGCCTAATGACTACAAGCTTAAATGAAGACGAGCTGACAAGCTATAATATCAATATAAAGATAACAAAATTAAATAGCTTTAAAGCTTTAATAATGAAAAGTCCTAACATTAACAAGACAAAAAGTCATACATTTTAATAAAGGCGATTTTAGCGATAACAAAATTATGACAAGCTAAAATATTGGCAAGCTAAACTAATGAATAGCTCAAATATCAATATCAATTTCAGCTTATCAATATAAAACTGTGAATTAATAAACTTTTAAATTTATTAATTATTTTTAGTTTAGTTTTAAATTACCTCAAGACTTAATGACGACAAGCTAAAAGGATGACAAACTAAATTATAAGCTTAAATATGAGAACATGCTAAAATCACAAGTTAAAAATATAACAAGATAAAATGTTGTATAGTGTAAATGATTACAGGCTTATTAATATAAAATTAATGAACATTTAAATTTATTAATAATTTTGAGTTTCATCGACAAAACATATTGTGGAATATTTCAATATATTAATATCAAATTAGTCAATATATCATTCATAAAATGTAATAAGCTTTATTGTGATTTTATAATGTTTTTCTCATTCATTTTTTTAAATTTATAAAAATATGGTTTTTTTTCTACACTAGTTAATTTATTTTAAAAAAATACAAAATTATCAAATTGCTAAAAATAACATTTTAATGTATATAGTTAGTGCTGTTGGAATTAAAAACAGAAAATTTAGAATACATTAAAAACTACTTTTCGACTTAAAACAATGTCATGACCCCACTTCCAATTGAAAAAAAGGTAAGCTTTTAACAAATCGACGCCATTTGGAATATTTAAAAAAGTATATAAAGTAGTACTTAATTTAGTATTTATTTCTAATTTTTAAACCCAACATTTTTGGTATTTGGCATTTTTGAGCGCTCGTATGTTTAATATTAGATTAGAGTACCATTTAGGTATATTATTATATGTGCTTAAAAAACAAAAAAACATATATTTTGTACACTTTTTTAAAAACTTTTTAATAGTAGAGCAATTAAACTAAACTTGTGGCGCAATAACTGTCATATCAATGATTAATATCTTCCTATAGCAGTTAAGTTTTCGTTGTCTCCCACAATAGATTAAGTGAGGAGGAAAGTAGGAGGATAAATGTATTGCTTAAATTATAACGTAACGCGAACAAAGTACTTTGTTACCATATACATATACGCAGGGAATTTATAACCTACATTGCAAAAAGCAAAAACGTGTTTCGATAAAGTTTATTAACCTAGCAAACAGTGTTTAAAGGGTTCTGAATTAAAATATAATTAAATTAAAATGACTTACACTTTAAGTTCTTTGTGTTAAATAACCAACCTACCTGGGAACATGTTTTTGTAATAAAACACGGTATTAAATTGTTACAATTTATATCAGGTCATGAAATTTTTATCCCTTATTTCTCAAGTTGTTTTTACTTGAGTATCATCTAAATTATTTTTTAACTGCCGAAAAACAATTTAAAAAAATCCAATGTTGTTTAAATTACATTTTAATGACATAAGAAAAAATTCATAACTAATAAAAATTTAATGTAAATAAATCTTTTTTTGTCTGAATTTGTTAGTCTTTTTTACTTGTACATCATTATTTATTTAACAATATAAAAACAATGTTTTTATTATGAAAAAAAAAATTTTTACTTAGGGTTAACTACATCAAAAATTTCAATTTTTGTTTAGACTGTTTAGATAAATAATTTAGATAATACCCAAGTAATAAAAACAACGGATTAATGTAATATATTAAAATGGGTGATTCCTCAGGATTCATAAAGCACCTGAAACTTTTTTTCTAAATTTTCTAAAAAAGACTAAAAATAATTTATAACAAACCTCTATCCTACCAAAAAGTACGCCACTGATCGACTAGGAACTTAGGGCTAATCTGGTTGCCTAATTTAATTTATTATTTTACGGTTGGTAACAACCAGCGTTTGAGATTCTGTCAAAAAAGTTGCTAAATTTTGTTTAAATTTATCTTAATTACAAAAATTACAAAATCAACAATGCAAATTGTTAATTTTGGCGTTTTTATTAATTGCTTATTATGTCATTTTTGTAATGAAGGTAAATTCAAGCAAAATCTGGCAACTGGAATCTAATTCATTTCTTACAAATTAATTTTGTGGTTATCGAGTTTTTAAAATAGGTACTAAATTTTCTAATCATTGCTTAAGCTAATGGCTGGATCAGTAAATTAATAAAGAAGGGTATTACAGCTTTAAGGGCATACAACTTTTGTATTTACCTATTGAGATTTTGTTTATTTTTTGCAAAAAAATGTTTAATAACAATTTTTTTAAAATGGCGAATGCGCCGGGATTTTTATTTTATTGACTTTTATTGAACAAAAAAATATTAATATTTACACAAATTAAACTTAATTTTAATAAATTCATATTTTTAAATTATATATAATAAATTATATATAATAGTAAATTAATATGCATTATTACTTATTGTATGCATAACACGTCCATTTGCAAGTGGCATACCAATTATTAGATTTTAGATAACAAAGATACATTAATTTAAGCAATTCGATTATAAACATTTACATTCGATATTCACATTACTAAAGGGTGTCTCAATGGAAACGCCGGATTTGATATGTTAATTAAATACATTAATTAAAAATATTTTTTTAATGAAACATCTTTGCATATGTGCTGCTGATTTTCGTCTCTAAGTTGATAGTTTGTTGACCCAAATTCTGCAATATTGTTTATTGACATAGCCACTGAGTTGAAAATGCTCTTCATCGCTAAACAATATTTAACATCTTGTTGCCTTGCCAGAAATCATTTGACAAATTCCCGGCGCATTGCATGAACTACTGGGATTAGCTCCTGTGTTAATTGAATTTTGTATGGATGCAAATAAAAATCTTTTATTAAAATTTGCTGTGAAGTGCTCCTCGAAATTGCAACTTGTTGATGACGAGTCGAGGTTCCAGGATGTTCGGTAACACTATTTAGTACTGCTCCAATATTTTCAGCAGATCAACTAGTACGATGACGCAAAGGTATTTTTATAACCCCAACTGAAACACTTTCCTCAAATTTAATTACTAACGTAATTTTCTAACGGTTTCTGCATAGCATTCTCCATACTTATGATAAGTAGAAAGAATAGTAACACGGTTTCCTAGAGAATATTCCATGACCTTTAAAATCGGAATGTTTTTACACTACAGAAATCATATTTTCAAGGTTGCACTATGCAAAAACTAGGAACATGGCGAAATTTAAATCCAGCGTTCCTATTGAGATACTCTTTAAACATACTAACAACATAAAACAAATCATATTTCTAGAAACTATATAGAAAATATGATTTTTGTAATGTTCTATCATCCCCTTAAAAGATGACAACTTATTTGGTGACACCCTGTATAATGAGCAGATTTGAAATATATTTTAAAAACAGTCTAAAATACATTTGTTGTAAGGATGCGTTTAAAACCGCTTAATATTATGGACTACCCGCTATAACAGAACTAAAATTTAAACATACATATTCCATATACATTATTTACATCAAAATTAAAATGTATCCAAAAAACTTCTTTCCTCCTTAACTTAACTTTAGCGATGTTCGCGCTACACAATGTTATTTCTAAGCTTGTCTTTATAACCTATATGTTGCACATGAATTGATGTCTGTGCACAGCGGCCGTACTTGGGGCTCGGTTCCGAGGTGCTGACTCTTGCCTCCTTGCAGACGCCAACGGCAACCTGGACCCGGAGGCGCCCCCGGCCAACTACGGACGTCGCAGGTCCAGAGCGGTCCTCTATCAGCTGTCCGGGCACTACAAGCCCGAGAAGATGAAGTCCAAGCTCAAACTCAACAACGTAAGTATCTAAAGATAATTATTAACTATCAAAGACCAACTTCTTTAAACACCTAGTTGTCTTTCAACTGGGTTAGATCCTATACTGCGTTTTGAAAGATAATTAAAATTATTGGAGCATTACCCAAATATAGTATGTATACTTACATTCCCAGTTGAGGGTACTATTTACGGTAAAATTTACGTAGCAGTAAAAAATTAAATCATTTTAATGTGGGCACTTTTCATTATAATTTTATTATATGTAATATACTAGTTGTTACCCTTAACTTCACATTAGTTATGAAGGGTAGTCAAAGATCAAAGGTCAAAAGTCAGAGGTTAAAAGTTAAAAAAGAGCACCGCTGCATTCACCACTTTGTCTAAAACAAAAAACAACAAAAACAAAACATCAAAAAATCAAAGAAGTAGGTAGCCTATGAACGTCCTAGATTTCATCAAAATCGGTTTAGCAATTTAGGCATGAAAAAAAAACAGACAGACAGACTTTAACATTTATAATATTTATGAATGGTTTATGATGAATTACTCACTGCAAATCTAATTATCTCTAAAATCATATCATACATAAAATCAACAATCCGCTGGGACACCCGCTATATCGAATTTCAAAATGCAATTTAAAAATTTAACACTTTTTTGACAAATTGTAAATCATTTGGAGCATTATTGTTTTTCAATTCTTTCCAGAAATAGTGGGTGTTTCAGTGGAATTAATTTAAAAGGCTTATTGAACATAGTAATTTTTGATTTTTTGAATTATTTTTTTTATATTTAATAATAACTTTGTCTAAAATTGAAGTCAAAAATGCAATTATGACATAAATTTAACTTTAACATTGAATAACTTCACTATAATAGTTTTAGAAACTTTTTTTTCCTAACATTAAGTACCCCAGCTTAGTTTAACTCATTTTGGGCCGCTGATTTCAAAAATGTCATTAGTTTTTCTCTAGGACGTCTAGGATTTAAAATAATTTAGTAATAAAATGCTCTGCTCAATCACCTCAAAATGTAGTTTTTTGTTAGTATTTTAATTATTTATTAAATTATTTTGGCTTAAATTTATCTGTACTGGAGTAATTGGTATAATACTAAAACTAAAATTTTAATGTATTTTATGTAAAAAAACAACCATTATTTGACATTTTTTGTCGTTTATTTTAATTATTAAATTGAAAGGGTAACAAAGTAAACAAGTTTCAGTATTTTTTATCCAAATTAAGCCCTCAAAATTTAATGCATTGCATAATTTTGCTTTTCTCTACCTTAAATTTATTAAATCGTATCAAATATCGAATTGGATTATAGTATTATTGTGCTTAATCTTCATCATCGTCCTACATCTTTTGCTGCAAATTCCAGCAAATGTCTCCTAGCAATGAATCAAACTTCTTTCCGGTATACCCATAGATATCTACCAATGCTTTAGATTTGCAGTTACTTGGTGAAATCGTTCTCCATGTTCATCAGTTCGGCAAATTTATCAGGATAAAAAAAAGAAAATATATTTTAAATGACATACCTATTAACGCTAATTCTGTACAAAACGGAGAGCATTTTTTCAATAAATTGGCGCCAATTTTAGGCCCGATATAAACCAAAAACAGTTTCAATGACTTTAACACTGCCATATGCGACAAGCTCGTCAACGTTGAGAGCATTTTTGAATGCTTGATCTTTCATTAAACGTCTTATATCAGGTCCATTTAATATTTCTGCAAAATTAAAGTAGTAGGTATATCTCATAAAATTTTGTAATGAAATATTGCGTTGGTTTTTCTTGGGCGTAAAGGTACCGCAACAAGAACAAAACAAATTTACAACGACGACATAAATATTCGTCTTCTTTATCTGCCACTTCCATTACCACTTTCATTTCCTGCTCTTTTCATTTTTGGTTCTTAAAATCACTTTCAAGTAAAAATACAATTTAAAGTTTAAATTTTAAATGTAAATAATTAATAGATGCACTTTAATGTGCTTGAACGATAAAGTAGATAAAGGCGCCTTTATACTTCAATTCGATATTAAATTTTGATAAGACTTAATAAATAAGATTGGAGATTAAATTTTTGGGTACTTTAGGCATGATGTGAATAAAAAAAATATCAAATAATAGTTAAAAAGTAATGCTTATACCTAAACCCATTTATTTTTTGCTTTTTCAATTTTATTAGTAATTAAAAAAACGACACAAAAATTTCAAAAAATAATACTTTTTACCATAAAAACATTATAATTTTAGTTATTTAATATAGTATACGGCTACAATGGAACAAACAATTTCTATTTGACATTTATCTACCGATGACTTTGTATGGAGCCTGTATATTTTTTATAAAAAACGTCAAAAATATACTGAACATCCAAAATAGATTTAAGGCAAAATAATTTAATAAATAATCAATATATTAACAAAAAACTTACATTTTGAGATAATTGGCAAAGCATTTTATTACGCAATTATTTCGAATCCTAGACATCCTGGAGAAAAACGAGTAGCATTTTTGAAATCAGCAGCCCAAAATTAGGTAATGTAGGTGGGCTTACTCAATGCTATTAATTTAAACTCCTTGGTTTATTGAAAAATGATATGAGACATTTTTTAGAGCGTAAATAGTTTGTGAGCTAAGTAGTAATTATAATAAAAACAAACAAAAAATTCCCATGTTATTTAAATGAGGAATAGAAATTCTCTATGCGCGACCTCTAAATATTAAAATTAAGAGCTCCGATTTTTACAGGTGCATTTTTTTGGTACCGTGAAGATATTTCAGTGCGAAATTTCAGAAAAAAATAGTCGATTTTTTTAACCAGCCTAATATATACATAAATAGGTATAAAATAGTATTTAAAAAACCTTGATAAACATATAAAACTTCAAACTGCTTTCCCAGGAGATTTATATGCACATCCTAATACACTATGCAAACGATACTTTTATGGTTAGGTAAAGTTCGCGAACCCTGTAAAACAGTGCTTGCAGAATTCAAAATAAGTTACAATTTACGATTCGTTAGAAAATCAAACCCAATTTCAATTTTGCATAGGCAGCCTGTCTAGCCTTTGGGAAAATCAGTCAAGATTTGACGTGGTTGAAATAAGAAATTTACATTTTAAACACAGCGGAATTTCTTAGACAGTTATTTCCTTCTACAAAACATCCTTTTTACAGGTTCAATGCTTCTTGTGCTAATAACTTCCTTAACATGTTCTTGGATTTTAGGGATCTACGTAATGTTAAAAAGGAAATAAAGGTCGGGATTTGTTTAAAATTAGGGTTAAATTCCTTAATTTAATACTGGTTATATCCTTATAAGTCCTGATAAATCTCGGTTAAATATAAGTTGGATTTACACGGTATTACAAAATATAATTAAGTTTAGAAAATAATATAGTTAAGGACCAATATCAGTTCTTATTTTCGCAAAAAAACACTCAATCATTTTCTATTAAAATATATTAAAATTGATGTGTAAAGCCTATCAACAGAAAAAGTAATACATTTAGTAATATATTTTATGTCATCTTTAATAAAAAAAATAATGGTTACCTTTAGTGCCTGCGTTGAACGTAATATAAAATGATGCAAATTCTCGTGTCACCAACAGAAATAAAATCCACTTAAGGACATAAAATAAATAGTAGGGGGTCCAAAAATAAAAGTTTAAAATTTTGTCTCAGCAAGTTTTTTTTTAGAGATCGCCGATAATTAAACGTATATACAGTGTGTGTCAGCAAAATGGAATAAATTCTACTATTCCAATCATTACTTTATGGACCAATCAGATTTCAGAAAACGAGTAGTTTTTTCAGTTTTGCAGCGATAAAACTACTAAAGTTAATTTTTTTTATCTGGACTGCGGCAACGTTGCAAATTTAGGGTTTTGGTTGGTAAATACAGTTGTCAAGTTGGTCGCATTGATTAAAACAAACTAAGCTAGTTATAAATCTAATTGTGGTTATGTATAAATTATTGTAGGTTACATTGTGCAGTTGTCAAGTTGAGTTGTCGAAATTCGTAGTTAAAAATGCAATTAATTTGGCTTTGGTGGTGCTTGGATGAGTAAAATCATGTAAAAAAGTAGTTAAATATAGGTTGCTTTACGGCCCAGAAAAAAAGTATTCCTAGCGGATAATAATAAAGAATTTATATAAAAGAAATTAAATTTTTTTGTGAACGTAAATGTTGTCCAATTGTGAATAATGTAAAAATAATGTGTGATGTAATATTTATAAAACCAAACCGTTACTTTTTTACTCCAAAAATAAGGCGATGTACTTTTTCTTCCATTGTGGCATTTGGCATAATTTCATCAAAATGAAGTTTTGCCCTCAAAAGGGTTTTTACATTCAAATTCGTTGCTATTATTTTTGGCATAATTATCTTTTTATTTATAATTGACAAGTAAATTATCAATAATAAATATTATTGTCAATTTGACAGTGTCAAAGTATTTAATTAAATTATTTAGCAGAAGTACCATTTTTAAATACTAAAAATACTAAGTCAAACTGGCATAAGCCACCAACCTAACGAAAAAACACGAGTCAAGATAAAAAAAACAACCACTCGCTTATACGAGTTGTATAACAAACAATTGGTTGCTATTCGAAAAATAATTGTCAATATTATAATATTATAAATCATACAGAAATTGAATCGGCAGTTAATTCCAACTTTTTCAGCGAAACTAAATTTATGGTAAAATTTAGTAGGACCCTTTATTTAAGAAAATGTTTTGCTAAAACAATGCGCAAAGAAAGCGGCATTTTAATTTTTTTAATGGTAAATAATAACATAATTATTTAACGCATTGTTTTAATACAATATTTTCTTAAAAAAGGGTCCTACTAAGTTTTAACATGAAGCATGGTATTTTCAAAGGTTTTGGACCCAATTTGGTTAAATATTTAATTATTATTTAAAAATAGTCTATGTGCCATGCAAAACCACAAAAATATTCCAACTGCATATTATTTTTGTACGTATTTTCA